AAACGAGCGACCAACCCCACAGCCGCCGCGTCCCAGCAGCAGCAGAGCAGAGCTCTCCCCCTGCAAGGGCGAGCTGGGAACATTCACACCACAAAGCCAAGAGCGAAGTCTCCTCTCGCTACGCGTAACCCGCCTGCAAACTTTCTTTGCTCGCTCCCTTCACTTACATCGGTCAACATAAAACGAGAAAACAGAAGGAAAACCCCACGAAAGAATTCACGTGTTGTTTTTCTTTCTGTCCTTCTCCCCCCCGCCCCAAGCTTTCTCGTGAAAGGAGGCAATAAAACGATCAGAAATGCATGCCAAGAGACCAGCTCTGTTACCTGGTTCGCTCCCACATCCTTTTTCCAACGCCCCAGAGACGGCCCTCATGGTTTGGGTGGTTTCTTCCAAAGTGAGAGGTCTGGGGGAAGGGGTGGCTTGGGGGTTTTGGTTTTGATTTTCTTCCCCAAAAATAAAGCTTTCACCTTTACGATCCAGATTTTATTATTATTATTATTATTTCCCCTGAAGATTCTTGTAGGACTCCGGGTGCTTTTTTCCCAACAGACGGTCTGCGGAGATTTGCTGTTGAATAACAATGGGAAAAGGATAAGTATTTAAAGAAAAGAAGTGATTAATGATTTTCTGTATAATTCTCGCATTTTTCTTGGCTTCTGTCTGCTTATAATGGCTGTGAACTTTTAGGTCCTATAGAAATCTTCTTTTCTCCCCCTTCTATTCTATTCATACTTTCCAGCTTTGATTCGGTTCTATAGAACCTGCATTCCTAGAAGCATATGCTTTTTTTTAAGAACTATTTTTGCCATTCTTAGAAGGACTATCTTGAAAATAGCACCCTCTTTACATCCACAGCAGATCAAAGAGAAAAACAGTAAAATAAAATGCGACAACAGCAACAAAAAGCATCCCAACCTCAGGCATTGCAATAAAATACAGCCCTTGCCATCCTCTCTGGTGGGAGGAAGAAAAAGAAAAAAGAAAAAAAAAGAAACTTTGAAGGTTTCTAGTTGCTGCCTCTAAAAATGTGTTAGTTAGCCAAAAATGTTTTCATAAAACCAATTTATTCTCCATCAGAACGTGTAACAAATCTGTATCATGTGGCTACATTAATATTATTTTAAAATATTAAAATGTCAATAGAAAGAAAAATATAACGGCTCTTTGTTTGAGGTGGGGGAAGGGCTACTTCTCAAGGCACTTTATTTGCAAGGTGGTTGTGCAGTGACTTACTACAAATAAAGGAATAGCACATAAACACACACTGACTTAAAAATTTCAAGCCCTGCCTTTGCTTCTGAATAATGCGGTGGAATATTTCGGTCCTTATGGGGGGGGGTCTCAGAGAATTCCATAAACATTGAACAAATAAGCAAATGCCTTTTTTTTAGAGGCAAGTGTAAGAAAATGATTATTTTATTCAGATGATGTGGAGGAGTCCCCCCGGGCATTCCCCAATCGAGCTGGAAGCGGTGCTCCCCACTTAGGGTGCAGCCTGCTCAACCTCCCCCGCACCACCACCACCACCACCACCACCACCACCCCTGCTCACAATAGTCTTTTTCTTATATTTGTAACTTAGAACTGGAATGTTATTTCGTCCTGAAGAGTATTTTCGATACTTTCTATGAGCAAGAAAATGAAAATTAATACAAGAGCTGTGGCTCACAAAAGAAGCCATTTGTCTTCTTGATTATCTATTTGCTTGTCAGGCTATGAGCTATCGCAGGAGCCAGCTCCTTTGTAATATAAAAATACACAGAAAACCTGCAAACACCGAGAAACATCTGTGCAAAAATTAGACTCATTAATGCATTAACTACCTTGGAGAAGGAGATTTTTTTTTTTAATCAAGAAATCTCTCTAGAGAAATACAACGCTACATCATTCTTTAAAGCAAAGCAAAGCACTAATGACTACCTCTGTTTTGTCTGAAACCAGTTTGGGAAGAGCATATTAATATAAACTTAGAACAAATAAATCATAATATGTAAGGCTTAGCAGTACTTAAGGCTGATATACCCCATAGTCAAACATCTTTTGTTTTCATTAGGGAGTTGAGGCTGCGCCATTGACAACAGAAATCACAGTTCAAAAGTAACGTGCTTTTTAATTAAAAATTTTTAAAAATCTATTTTTTCTGCTCACCAGAACAAAAAATAAAAATAAAAAAACACACAAGGTCAGCTTCACAATGAAAAATTTATTTCCATTTGTTTTCCGGCCCGGCCCGTCGGGGGAGCCCCTCGCCCCCCGCCTTCGTTTCACAGTCTCGGCGCAAACCCGGGCTAGGCCGGGAAGAGCAGCTTTCTCCTCGCAGAAACCCCTCTCCCCGCTGGCTGCGGACTTGCGTTCAGGTGGCACCGTTTATCTTCAAGCTTCTAAACTAAACACGTTTCTTTCCCCTGTTCCCACCCCACCCTCCCCTCCCCAGACTTACAAGTGAAGTAATTAACCTGCTGGACTCAAAAATGGCGGGGAGGGGGGGGGTCCTACATAAGTGTCCATTCTCTTGGTTTCTTTGTCCACCACCCACTTGACTTAATTTTACTTCTTTTTAGTGGTTCCCTCCTCCCCACCCTGGGCTGCACGATCATCACAGTGTCCAAGATCTCTTCAGTCCCCACGGTCCTTGTAAAACACGGAGCAGACGGGGATTTTTTGTTGTGTTTTGTTGTTTTTCTCCACCGCAGGGCTGTGCTAGAACTGCCGTGTCTTTGGGATGGCTGAATAGAAACTTTCGTTTTGTGGCTGGTGGGGGAGAAAAAGAAAAAAAGGAGGAAAAAAGGGGGGGGGGATCCAGTTCGTCTTGAAGAAACTGAGCCTCATTTATTAAAGTGAACGCTGGTTGTCGAGGTAATAGCAGACATAAGGTCCATCCTTTGTACGGGAGAGTAAACATGACAAATGGGGCAGAGCTTGGCGTGATTAAAGATGAAACAAGGATCCATCTTAGCCAAATCTGAAAACTACTATCTACAGCCTCCTTTTAATGGAAGAGAGGCACAACAGCACATCTCTGCTTTGTTGTAGCTGAGTCTCCCTCTGCTCCCCCTATAAATAAAGAGTACCCCTCCTTCCTTAGCTTCCTGGAGCATAAACAAAAAATCATCATGTGGTTCCCTCCCAGTCACCAACC